AGTTGATAACTAAATTGAAATAGAAATATAGTACTATTTTAGAATCTCGAAACGAGTAAATAAAGTTATCAACATACTCATACTTGATGAGAGGGAAATCCAAAATTTATCATTAAATTTGTCTTAAATACATTTTAAAGCAATTTCAAATCTTGTAAATCGCACATCAATTTCTTTTCATAGATTTTGTATTTTGTCTTTTCATTTTTTTTATTATTATCACTATTTGTTATATACATGGTACCATATATTTATATAAACTTTAAATTAATTAACTGTAGAAGCTGAATTTCGCACTGAGTATTTGTATGTGAATTCGGAGAAGAAATCTTGGTCCTAAGAAATGTCTATAAGCTCAACGATTAAAAAAAAAGTAGAGTGGAGTTGGATTTATATTGATATGAATCGAATATACAATAGGATCCCGTCTGAGACGTGTTACAAGCTGAAAATATAGTGTTAAGCTCTCGCGTGTGTGTCCAGTCATCGAAATCTGCTCGAATTGTCTCCATTTATAGCTCAGCTCAGTTCCTCGACCCAACTTCACGTTCCTAGGGCGGTTCCGCGTATCTCGGACACGATTTCGGCATATTCCCCGCGAATCTCTCTCATACGACTGAGATAACCGCTCTGTTGACTCGCTCCTAACTCATTCTTAGCTCGTTGGCCACGCGCCTGTTGACTCGGCCCTATCGGGGCTGACATGGACCTTAAGAAGAATAATGTCTAATTCTTCGGGTTTGGACCGCAGGCCCATCAATTCCGGTCAACGTTTCGTGAACAATAAGTTTTGATTTGGGCTTTTAAATGGGTCGGATTCGGTGATGAATCGAGCCCCAACATTAACTAAACATAATATTAAACGAAATCAAACATTTTCTTAAACATCTATTTGATGTTACTTTGATGTGTTACAAATTTGTTACAATGAACTATAAATATCTAATGAACATTGTTCTTTACAAACATTAATATATACCTTTCTTCTTGTTTTGAATAATAAAGAACTACTAACGATTCTGTCATAATTTAATGCTTAAGATTATAATCATTATATCATGTGTGACCAAATCAATCAGAAACTTTCTATTCTTATGAATTTCTGAAATTCCGTTGAAAAATTATAGATGATTTTATGTAGGTTTCATAAAATAAAGTTTTTTATTAAATAAAAAACTGTTTATATAGAATTTAATTATGTAATGTGGGCGTACTTTTGTTGCTGCCCAAGCTGACCAATTTGCCTATCTCTCTTACTCAAACTGCCCGATCTGCCCGTTGCTGACCACTTTCAGTCTCTCTCTCTTCTCTTGTCTCAAAGATGCCCTTTCGTAGCTCTGTATCTCTCTCTAGCACGCAAAAAAATCTCAACTTTTGACTAAAACTTTCTCTCGCTAATCTCAATTCCCTTCACTTATATCTTTGTTTTATCATCTTCTTCTTTGTCCCCAATTAAGGAGCTCAAAATTCACTTGCACTGAAGTTGGTCTTTGTACCCTTTGGCTTCTTCTAAGTATTACTTTGATCCTTTCTTTGATTCGATTTTGGGTGGCAAAAGGATCAAACTTTCTACTACGAGAGAATTGGGTTTCTGTTATTTTCCTTCTTCGATCTTCATCTTTCTCTTAAATTTTTGTTTTCTAGGTCTGACTCTGTTTTCTGGGTCTGACTCTGTTTTCTCATCTCAAACAATTGAGTATGGATTTGATCAAATAGAGAGTGATCTATTCTAGGGTTGATTCAAGTGGAGATTCCCTTGGCTTTTCTTTTTTGTTTTTGTTTTTGGGTTTGAATCCTTCAAAGCTATGGTGATCTGAGTGGAAATTAGGGTTCTTTCTTAAGGTGATGATGGGTACAAGGCCAGACTCTGTTAAAGTGGTAGATAAATTGGGTGTTGAAAAAGGGAAGAAGATGTTAAGTAAAAAGAAGAGTGTTAAGAAAGATGGAGAAGAGAGTGAAAGTGGGTTTTGGTTCAGATTTAAGCTCATGTTTAGTTGTATCTCTTCTAGATCAAAAGTTGATAGTTCCATGAATGCCACTACTGTTATTGGTAATCTCTTTCTCCTTCTATAGAG